GAGTTGTGTGATGCCATGGCACTCTACTGAGGGCGATAAGTAAGACCGTCTCTACAAAAAAAAAGAGCATATTCAAACCAGGCACAGTGGCTCACACCTGAAATCCTAGCACTCTGAGAGGTGAGGTGGGTGGATTGTTTGAGCTCAGGAGTTCGAGATCAGCCTGAGCAAGAGACCTTGTCTCTACTAAGAACAGAAAAATTAGCCAGGTGTTGTGGTGGGCACCTACAGTCCCAGTTACGTAGGAAGCTGAGTCATGAGGATCATTTGAGCCTAAGAGTTTGAGGTTGCTGTACACTCTGATGATACCATAGCACTCGACCAACCCCAGGCCAACAAAGTGAGACACTGTCTCAAAAAATAAATAAATAAATAAGCATATTTAATATGCTTGTTCTTTTTCAAATTACAAGTAGGAAAGCTTAACAATATATTTTGTTTAAAGACAAAAAGAACTGTATAAGTGCAAGTGCCAGAATAAAAGGTTGAGACTCACTATCTATGTAGGCCCTATACCTCATGATCAGATATAACCCTCCTTTTAAATTTCTAAATTAGCATCCGAGGTTTCCACACCAGTCTTTTATGAATTGAGAAAGAATGAATCAGGAAGCAGTTAAAACAGTTACAGGTTCCAGTGACAGTCCGAGGGTTTTATCCTTTGTAAACTACAGATAATTTGTCTCATGGAATTCCTGTGAGGGTTTCATGAGTTAACATCTGTAGTGTCTGACAAATAGCAAGCACTCAAATGTTATCTAGTACTTTTAAGTTCTAGAGTTCCCACCTACTCAGGAGGCTGAGGCTGAAGGATCACTTGAGGCCAGGAGTTTGAGATCACAGTGAGCTAAGAATGCACCACTGCACTCCAGCCTGAAATCAAGCAAAAAAATTTCAGCTACCGCTCCTTCAGGCCTATCTCTTAATTTAGTTAAGAGATTAAATAAATTTGTTAATAAAATTGTTAAAATGCAGATAGCTCATTTATCTATTAATGTAGCCTGTTAAATGTAGGACTGAGCCAGAAGGGGTGGTTATGTGCCCATTCATGCATGATTTACCTATCAAGTACACAATACCTATATTGCAAAGATACGATATTGGAGTTTGCTAGAATAGTGGCCTTATTTTATCATATAACAGCTTGGAAAGTAACAAAATACAAGCAAATAAAAAGAACTACCACTAGAACCCCTTCCCTAAGCACAGTTTACCTAAAGTCTTCGTGTTTGCTAGGAGAGCTTCCTCATACGATAGTATATAGTAGAGCACCAAAAGCTGGGCTGTGATGCTGAAACGCTGATTAAGGCGGATACTGTCACCCTGGAAGTAACGTTACAAACATCTTAGAATAATGTTAAATTTCATGAGTGATTTTTTTTTTATAATAAAAGGATAAAAATAGACCATTCAGTGTTGGTGCTCCCAAGCTCAGATAAAACGGGGAGAAATGTTGCTGTGCTCACATTAAACTCAAAGTGACAACTTGAAGTATAAATGAAACTCGAGATGGCATGAGAGACAACATGCTTAAATAGCCAGTTAGCATTAAAAAAGACTTCAGCTAGTACTTCCCCAAAGACTGACAGGAATCTCAAGTATTATCAGAAATGATCATGAAGATACTAATTCCCAAAAGAGATAATATATTTTAACTATATTTGTGAAAAATGCAACTTTTTTTCCTTTCTAACAAAATAGGGGGAAAAGATTTTCACCAAATTCTTCGTAAATCAATCTAGGTATATCTTAAGATTCCTGGGAAGCTAAACAAAGCTCTGCTGAATATGTTAAAATCTCACACAGTACTTGTTCAAAAATACAATCTCCAGGGCACCCATTAGACTTTAAAATGAAGTTTTAAAAAAAATTCCTCTTGTCTGGGAACAATGGCTCACACCTGTAATCCTAGCACTTTGGGAAGCCGAGGCAGGAGGAATGCTTGAAGCCAGGAGTTCCAGACCAGCCTGAGCAAGACCCCGTCTCTACAAAAAATAGAAACATTAGCAGGATGTGGTAGCTTATGCCTATAGTCCCAGCTACTTAGGAAGCTGAGACAAGAGGATTGCTTGAGCCCAGGAGTTTGAGGTCGCAGTAAGCTATGATGATGTCACTGCATGCTAGCCTGGGCAACAGAGCCAGACTCTGTTTCAAAAGAAAAAAATTCTTCTACAAGTACTTATTTGACAAACTACTTGGAATTAATACTATTGTTTTACTTTTACAAGTAATTTAAGGAAATTTATCTCATTTTAAATTCAGAGCCACCTAGAAGTCCTCTGATAGGAAAAATACATGGAGTAAGTTAGAAGGTAAACTAAAAGAAAAATAAATTCATAGATATAAAAGAACCACTATTTTACCCCAATGACTCCTTGGAAAATATTGAGTATCTCTTGTTCTGTAACTGGCTGATTTGTGGCCTCTGGATTAGACTTAGATGCAGGAGTGAGTATAGAATTTATGTACACATCAATCAGAGGAAGTAATTGAGGATGGAGTGGAGTAGAGGTTTCACACAGCTGTCTATAAATCCAGTCCTAAAAAAAAGATTATAGGCACTGAATCAGTTACGGAAAAAATTAAAAGGAAGCAAAATCATAAAAGCATATCGTGTTTTAACTGACTTATGAATCAATAAACTATTAACTTTTGGCAGTTCCAAATGTTATCTTTTTTTATAACTGTCTTTGATTTTAAAATATAAGCTATCTTTATAATTTAATCATTAATGCTAAGAATACTATAAAATGGTTAAGATGAACCCAAAATAATAAAAACCTTATCACTTGGTATAACCTATTAGTTTTTAAGCGGTGAGAAAAACATTTTAAGTCTCCACCATATCTGCATTTAAAGCACCATTAGTGTTGTCATAGAGCAGAGAGGACTCTGGGAAGAGGGATAAGTCCTTTACACCAAACCCTCAGAGAGATGAAATGTGAAAATGTCAAGTATGTCTCGGCACCCACAGTACATGGGATACAGCACCGGCCACATGCACTGAGGCTGGCGGTTTGAACCTGGCCCAGGACAGCTAAACAGTGACAACTACAACAACAACAACAACAACAAAAAAGCCAGGCATTCTGATGGGCACCTGTAATCATAGCTACTTGGGACACTGAGGCAAGAAAATCACTTATGCCCAAGAGTTTGAGGTTGCTGTGAGCTGTGACACCATGACACTCTACTGAGGGTGACATAGTAAGACTCTGTCTCAAAAAAAAAAACAAAGAAAATGCCAGGTATGCATTTAATGCAATTCTTAGCTATTTTACTTGCTAAGCATATAAAGAAACAGAAGATAATGTTTTATCTAGAAAATAATTTCACTAAAACACACAAAATAAGAAACAATTAAAAGTGATATATCATGTATACATTATTCATTGCTCTTTGTAAATAAAAGAGTTTCTATAGAAAAGGTTCAAACTGGTTTCTTTACCTACTGGGCTTTATCATTTCTTTAGAGGACCTTTTAACTGTGTAATATAGCCAACTATGACAAATCAAAAAACATATCAAAATGGCTCGGCGCCTGTGGCTCAAGCGGCTAAGGCACCAGCCACATACACCTGAGCTGGCGGGTTCAAATTCAGCCTGGGCCAATGAGGTTGCTGTGAGCTGTGATGCCATTGCACTCTACC